AGAGACCTCATTGATGAAGCTAGGTTACTTGTACATAGACATTGAGTTGTTAATATTTGGCATATATAGGGATAGGGAACATCTTAGAGTAGCTGATTATTCTATCAAAACTCTCTCATAGATTAGATGACAATTTTTGTACCTTTGATCAACCCCCACCTAATATTCATGAGGCAATTGATGAAGGGGGGATAGCCTTTTTAGGTTGTGTTGTTTGGCTGTACTCAGGTTTAGTAATTAAGATTTCAGTTTCATAATAATAATAATAGTAATAGTAATAGTAATAGTAATAATGATGACAAACCCAAAAGAATGTATAAATTTTTATTAAAAGGAGAAGATGATTGAAACAACTGATTTCATGAAGATTTAAAGAGAAAAGTTCAGAGATTTGAATCTTGAAGGATAAGGCCAGGCTAGACGAGTTCTGACTGCCACACGAGAAAAAGATATTTGAAAACCATTATAAAAACTGGTAAAGCCCCCCAGAAACGGGCCTTTCCATGTGAGATGGGAATTAATTCTGGATAGTGGTTTTAATTAAAAAATGACAAAGAAATAAAAGGTCAAAACCTTCATTCATAGAGGTAAATTTTGGAGGATCTAAACCTTGAAGGATGACGATAGACAAAGTATGACTAAACTGCGAGGAATTCACAAGGGAAGAATCATGAGGTGATAAATGTGATTGTACATTGAATATTCTATCTTGTAAGTAAGAAAATTATTCTCTTGAATCTTCTACATAACTTGACTGACAATATAGTCAAGCATTTACCAGCTGAACGAAATTTCGGAGTTATACACACACACACACAAACGCACAAACCTGTGAGGAAAATTCCCATAAAATTGAACGTTTCAACCTTTTCTATTTTTCTTTGTTTTAATTAACATTTTGGTCAGCATCGTATTCGTGCTTACGTTGAGAATAATGGCGATAGACATGGGAGTATACGTTAAAAATACTCAGATTAACAAAGCATTTATAAAAGTAGTCATTAAAACAAATTACGCTTCATATGTGTGTGTGGTTTTACATATTAACTAACTCTTTCTTTTGATGTACTTATTGGGGATTTAATGTGAGCACCTCTCTCTTTATAGGAATTCAAATATTGATTTGTCATATTATGAAGGGTTAATATTTTCCGCTAAAACCCAACCATAATGTAACTATTGTCATCATATAGAGGTGGAGAAAAATTTGAAGTTAGGGCTTGTTATTCTTAAGTAAAAACCAATTTTTCGTTTTAAACACTTGCTACATAGGAATTTACTATCGTTGACCAAATATTTAAAGTTAGGCGAGTGACAGTGCTAAATTAGTTTGTTTTAAACAATATTATTAGCATAGTCAAAACTATTGCACAGGAAATTATGTATGTATGTGAATGTATATTCAAAATTCCAATGGAAAGTTCAAACGCACGCAATCTAATTAAGTTCAAAAAATATTTTTGATCGTTTGCAAGTTAATGTTATAATTTTCTAGATCTTGGTTGGTTGATTTGCTGTGAATGAGATGGTCAACGGGAACATGGTCGTGGTGGCAGTTAAAGAAAAAGAAAGAACTACAACAAAATAATTTACGAAAAATTCAAGAAAAATAATCATGAAATTAGTATTTTTCAATTCATGCATCTAATACTTGAAAATGAGAGAAGGAAGTGAACCCAAATTAAATTTTTGAAATTCAATAGAAATGACAAAAATACCCATTTGTTAATCCCATTAAAATATGTGTTATTAATCCCAAATCGAGATTTATAATTTCACAATTAGGACTTGTTATTTCTAAATGAATTGTTATCATTTTTAATTGATTCACATGTTATTTCACATGTTATGTATTAGAAAAAAGCATGCTGTTAATCCCAAGTCGAGACTTATTATTTCACAATCAGACCTTGTTATTTCCATATGAATTGTTATTCATAGAGGGGCATTATTATCATTTCCCTTAAATTTCAAAATTCTAATTTGGGTTTACTTCATTCTCTATCATTTTGAAGTATTATATGCATGAATTGAAAAGTATTAATTTCATAATTTTTTTCTGGAATTTTGCAATAATTTATATTTATGAATATTTTGAAAATTTATTGGAATGCTTTGCTTTGCTTCGCTTCAGATTTTTGGGAAACACTAGTTTCATTAAAAAAAAAATCTTAAACACCACCATCTCACAATTTTTTTATTTGTTAACTGGAGAAAGATACGTAGTTCAAAATCAATATATTAATATTAATATATGTTATAAAATAATCTATTTAAAAAAACCATAATAAATCTTCAACAAAACGGTTCATCATTTGAAACTTCATTTAAAGTATAAAATGAGCATATAATATTTAAAAAGCTTTATTATTTATAAGTTGTTCAAAACATAACACACTTTGAATTTCAAACAACACTATTCTGTAGTTTCACAAACTCCATTAAAAACATAACCATTTTGAAACAATTTTCCTAAATAAACTGATAAACATAATTTTTTTATAGTAACTTTAAGAAATAATTTTTTGTAACTAAACTATGCTAACAACAAATTCAAATTATATCATATTCATATAAGCTAAGTATATAATAATATTATCTGTGATAAAAAAGAGCAGCACCCAATCATATATCTTGTCACGGATAAAAAAACTTTCCTTAACTTATTCAAATGCAAACTATGTAGCAGAGATGGGACAATATCTCAGTAACTAAATCACTACTATCACACACACTAGTATGGGCTAGCGAGGTGTTACGGTATTTTGGCTTGGAGAGGGCATTTCTAAGGATCCATTACCTCAAGTAAGTGATTTTAACCTCTAATTTACTTTCTTTCTTGGAATTTCTGAGGATTTTTGGTGGAACCCTAGAGTTTTCTAGATTGTGATGAAATTGAGATACACAATTAATAAATCAATGATAATTTATTTAACAGTTAAGCTCACAATATCACTTATTTGACAGTTAAACTCATAATGACCATATAAATTAGATATTTCAACTAGTCTCATGCATGTAGTCGATAATATCATAAGGGATAACATATATTTTTCATCTATCCAAAAAATATAAATATCAAGATTCCATGTCATATGCAACCCGTGAACCCAAATCTACCCTTATATCCACCTTATTTTTGCCGACTGGACTCATGGGCTAAGTTCTTTCTATTTGACTGGATACTCTCACAAGCTCAACACACGAGTGATTTGGACAAGTCAAAGACCACAGAGCACTTGATAGAATCAATGTACAACTTTTTCTTGAATCAACAAAAAAAATTCTTACTAAATACATTTACAATAATGAAGCAAATGAAGAGGTTCCCCCTTGAAGAACTAGTAGGGTGTTGCAGTCCCTCGAAAAACTAGTGGGACAATAATAGCAGCCAACCATAGAACTCCGTATGGAGGCTAATACCACGTGGTAAGTATATAAATCTAACTCTAATCATCTCCTTCCCTCACCTAAACCTGATGCACAGGGTTCACAACAACACATTTATATGCATAATTAACCAGATTCTAGAATAATACCTCATAGTTATAATTATTAATTTCTATTAACACAAAAGATTTCAACTTTTTTCAAAATAGCATACCACAAGATAGTTCATACAAAACATAATCTATATATACAAAAGTTGGTTATAAAACCACCTACCAACCTCATATACAGCATGCAATAGATAGAAATTTAGTTATCTAGGTTCTTAACTAACAGTCAAATACAAATGAGGACCGCACTTGAAAATGCCATAGTAGTATTTATATTTACAAATGAAATTAAAACATTATCTCTACCATATTAGAGTAAACTACCTACAAATTTCTAGCCTTTAACTTTTCCTCTAAGACCTTCAATTGTTACTCAAAATTGTAGTTCAAAAGATTTGGAGTAAGAACATGTATATGAGGATTTAAATTCAATTATTCCTAGGTTTTCTTAACTTATATTATCGTTTAATTATTAAATTACATAATTAGAATCACCAAATTCATAACCTAAATAGAAAACCCTCAATTTATAACTTATGCTCTATCTTCAAAGAACTTGGGCAAACAGCCTTAATATGAATTAATTTATTTTTATTGTAGAAGTTTAATTGTTAATCCAACTGTTGAATTTAATATCTTAAATTTTGCAAGTCTACTCTCTAAATTTCAGGTTAATCCAACGAGTTTAAAAATGCTAATTTTATTTAGTATTCTATCTACCAAATCTGGAAAAAAAAATGTACCTAATAACTTGTAACTAAATAGCACTTTACTGAGACTATCTCAATTTTGTGTGAAAATTATTTAATTTACTCTTAACTCTCTTCTACTACCATCTATATATAGCCCCCAAAAGCTCTATCTACCCATCATTTAGTCGATGTGGGATTTTCATATTAGTATTTTATCCATCTTCTCATCATTTAGTCCATGTGAGACTTCTTAATATTATTATCTTATTCAGTTACTTATATATGTGTTTATACATATACACAAATACATATAATTTTAATTATTTTAATTGCTTATATATATTTAACCTCTATCTTTTTTTATCTTAATAAAAATTTATTTAAATCTTAGAGATATGAAAATTAGGATATTACAGATTTCTTTTCTTATTTAATTTCCAAAATTCATAAAACATATGCTCCTTGAAACTACTTTGAAATTATACAAGCTTATTTAAGATTTTGTAAAACGTATGTGTGTATAAGAAAGTGTTAAGGGACAGCTCATATGAAAGGCTTATTCCATAAATAATACAAGTCAACTTAATTGTAAAATCTGGTTTGATAAGGTCAGGAACATATTATAGCCCATAGGTCACCCTCTATCTTTCAGAGCAAGAAACTAAAAACAATTAATTATTACAAGTATGCATATCATACATTATTCTTATATATAAAAGGGAGCATATGTATCTATGATATATAAATTAATCAAAGAAGACTTGGGAAATCCCAAGCCCAGCAAAAGACCTCGAGATTTTACAGGTGCAAGGAGAAATATGGATCTTCAACTTGAAATTTCTGTGGAAGAAAATGAATTAGAAAATTGGAGAGAGAGATGCAACAGAAGAATCGAAGGCCTAAAAGCAAGAGAGGTTTCAAATAGTACCGAAGATCATCAAAGATGTTCTGAAAATAGTACTGGTGTGTTAATTTTGGAATCGCAAGAAGCTATTCAAAATAATGGGAACGTGGATCAGTTCGTTGATATGTTGGAGAATATCATATCTTCTTCTTCTCCTTCTTCATCAGTTCATTTGTCTGCTATATTCAACCAAGTCTCTCCTTCAGGTGATTCCTTGCTTCATGATGCTGTTTATTTTGGAAGAGAAGAAATTGCAGAATTGATCAGTCATCACTTTCCTCAGCTTCTCACCAAGAAAAACGTCCACGGCGATACTCCACTTCATGTTGCTGCAAGATCAAACGATAGCTCGTTTCTGATTCAAGTTATCCTCTCTGAATATGAATCAACGTGTGATGAAGAAAGGAGTATAATAACGAGAATAACTAATGAGTATGGGAATACAGCTCTTCATGAAGCAGTATATAGCAATAATCTTCAAGGGGCTGATATACTTTTTGTTGCCGATAAACAAGTTGCTCATTTATTGAATAATTCGAATATATCACCATTATATTTGGCAGTTCAGAGTTCAAATAGGAATAAAGTTGATCTTTGGTGGGATCTAGTTGATCTTTGGTTGGATGCACAAGATCTATTTCCTGAAAATATGACTCTTCCAAGGATCCATGGAATCTCTCCACTTCATGCTGCCATATCTACAAAAAATGCAGGTAAATCATATGAACAAACCATTCTTATTCATTGGTTGAGTGTTGCTTTAAATTACGGATTTGGATGCTTTTCAAACTTTTTCTCAATACATCTATCCATATATAATATTGATTATTCATATGATTTAAAGGCTAATCATTTATTATTATCTTTGAAATGCTTTTGAAAATAAGATCATAATGCCGGTTTTACTAGTGCAGAACGGTCTTTCATGTTGGTTAAAAAAAGAAAAAGAAAAACCTTTTTACATCTACATCCAAGTCGGGGTAGATAAACCGTTTATAAAGACACCCAGTATAGAAAGGTTAAAAAGAACCTTTTTTTTAATTACTTTGTACACTACATGTTTAATCCGGTGTAGGAAGTGTTTTTTACACGGGTTGAAATTAAATAGCAACCGATATAGAAAGTCAACAGTCTCACTTTTTATATATAAAAGTGCCAATGACCACATTTTTCTACACCATTCCCGCTATAACCAGCGCAACCAACTTGCTATAGAAATACGTTTTTGGACCAGGGTTTATGATAGTAATCACTACAAAAAAAATTGACTTTCAATGTCGCCGCTAAAAGACTTTTTAGGGGCGACAATTTGTCGTCGCCAAAAGGGATGTTCAGCGGCGACTCTTTTGTCATCGCTGAAAGTAATGCCTAAGAAGAATTGGCTTTACCAATGCCACGTCATCACCCTCGGCCGCCATGCCATCGTCGCCGGCCGCCACGTCATCACTAGCCACCTCCATGTCATTGCCATATCACTCCTCCCCGCCACATCATCGTCCAAATATTTTCACCTTAAATGTGTCTTCTTCAATGTTCGAACTCATGACCACGTCCTTTCATGTCCAATCTTCTTGCCGCTGAGCGAAATTGAATTTGTTTATTAATATTGTAAAATAAAATATATATTTTTATATTACACTTTTAGCGGCGACATTATAAAGTCGCCGCTGAAAGTCAGACCTTCAGCAGCGACACTGATAGTCGCCGCTGAAAGTCTACTTTCAACGGCGACCATAGAATGTCGCTGCTAAAAGTGAATCCAATGATTCTCAAAGGTATACTTTCAGCGGCGACAAAAAAAGTCGCCGCTAAAAGTCTTAGTTTCAGTGGCGACTTTTTTTGTCACCGCTGAAAGTCGTCGCCTAAAGTCTTTTTTTTGTAGTGAATTAAATAAATAATATATTTTGTTTTATGTCACAATTAGTGATCCGACACCATTAAGTCAAATGGATAATAAAATTGTGCATGGAGAAAGGTATTGATAGAAAGCTTAGAGATGATCTATATCAAATGCATTATTATAATAGGGTCAATATATAAGATGATTTTCAAAATGTCAACTTGTTGTCTTCTAAGGTGTCTTGATGATTTAATTAATTATTTGCAGAGTTATTGAAACTGATGGTGGAGAAAGAATCATATGGAAATCTAATAAACCTAAGAGATGAACAGGGAGGAACTGCAATTCATTTTGCAGCCAAAACAGGTTATGCTGAAGGCGTTCGTATACTGTTAGAGAAATCTATTTTAACAGCACAAGAATTTGATATGAAGGGTTACCTTCCTATTCATCTTGCTTCAAAACAAGGTCACATTGAGGTGGTGAAGCAATTCTGTGAAGGAAAAAAGCTTTCTCTGAGAAGTTTGATTAATAAGAAAGGTCGAAACATTCTTCATGTCGCAGCAAAGCATGGACATGAAGGCGTTGTACAATATCTTTTAAGAAACACAAAGCATGAGCAACTCGATGTGAACCTGAAAGACAGAAATGGGAACACTCCATTGCATTTGGCTGCTGAAAACTTGCATTATTCCACTGTAATGAATCTCACATTGGACAAAAGGATTGATCTGAAAGTCACGAATAATGACGGCTTAACAGCTAGAGATCTTGTTTTGTTGACAAGAGAAACCAAAAGAGGAGTTGTGCAGGTATGGTTTATGTAGTTGTTCACTCAATACAATTTACTACCCGAATCTTTAATACAAGAGTTATATAAAAAATTAAGAAAACTAGTTAAGTTAGTTATTTGTAATAAATGTATGTTTGGTTTTCCTAGAATATACTTCCTAATCATATCCATTGTAGCTACCCCTTGATGGAAATCCCCTTATTGGGTTTAATCAATAGGAATACTTCAAGGAAAGAATAATAGAATTAAGAGATAAAATAGATTAAGGTCTTATATTTATAACCAAGATAAATTAAAACTCTTGTCTGTCTTTTATATTTAGGATAGTAGGTAGTACAATCAACAATCTTACTGGCACAAAGTGCGTAGATAGCTTACAAAATGCTTGCAAATAACAATTATTCCTCCTGTCTTAAATATATAAGCTATAAACTAATTTTTAGATATTAAAAAATTTAGTTCTGTTAGTTATTTATAAAAAATATGTGTTGATTTAATATAACAACTGTAATTAATTGAAATAATTGAAGAACATATTATAAATTTGGTAGACAATAAATTGAGATCTTATATTTAAAACTAAAGCAATAAACCCACTAGCTTCTATGCATTTAAGATCCATCGGAGAAGAAGTTCTTAGGTTTGAAGTTCATATTTCGCAAATCCATGAATGGTAATGGGTAATAAGATCGTGTAGTTAGCTTCAAACCTCATCAAACTGCACAAAAGAAAAAAAAAACCGCCTAAACTATGATCACACACACACACACTCACAAAACACACATCTTATATCTTCCAATTACTTCTAGTATCATTCTTTTATTTCATGTTTCTTTGCATAGGAGATAACAAACATGGTGTTGAAGTTAGCTGGTGCCAAAGAAAGCGATAAAGCCAAAGATTTACTTAAACGGCGAGAACCAATAATGAAACCGGATGATGTGACAAAGAATAAAACGAACACACTAATGATAATGGCGATACTAATAGTAGCAGTGACATTCATAGCTGGATTCACAGTACCCGGAGGTGTTTATAGCTCTGAAGATCCAAACCCAAATAAAAGAGGGACAGCAATTTTGGCTCAAAAACCAATGTTCAAGATATTTGCTCTTTTCAACATGGTAGCTATGTACAGTTCCATATTTGGATCTTTCTTTCTCTTGTGGGCACAGATTGGCAACTTCTTCTTGTCTCCTTCAAGTTCCTTCATCAGTTCTGCAATTTTCATGGTGGGTTTAGCTTTATTGTCAATGACTTTCTCATTCATGGCTGCTTTCAGTCTAGTTGTGACCCATGTCTCATGGATCTCATCTCTCACAATATTCATTGGGATCAGTTCGTTCTGTGGCATATTAATATTGTCAAATGCGAGTAGGAGTATTTTAGTTGTATGCATCATATCAAGGTATCGTGACGAGATTTTTAAGGTTTTCTTGTGTGTTATAGGCGCTCTTTCAGCTGTTACCTTGCTAGCTATCGTAGTTTCAGGGCCAATTATGTTGCTGTTGTATCTTCTTAAAGTGGTACACTAAAGTGTTAAAGATATCCCTAATATTTTAGTTTTGAAGCTTTATTGATATAAGGATCTTGATATGGTGAGCAATCTGTAAGTACTTTTGTAAAGATTTTTTTAGTTTGAAAGCATTTCTTGACCCTAGTAAACTCCAGAACCAATTCACTTACTGAAGTTTTGTTTTATCAAAAAAAAAAAAAAAGCTAGTTGTTGTATTCTTAATTTTATGGGTGTAATTGTGAAGTTTGGGAAATAAAGGGAGGCCTCTTGAACTTCTGTTTGAATCTAGTAATCTTTGTATACATATGCGGGCGCACTTTGATCCTTTTAATTTCCTATAATATTTTATTTTAGTCTCTTAATTTTATAAAGCATCTATACTCTTAGGTTTTTAACCTTAATGTTGCAAAGAAAAAATGTTAACATTGAAATTTTAAATATTTGTAACAATAAGTATTGATGAAACAATTATCAAATGTTAACATATTAAGTTGAATTTCCAAAATAACAATCATTGTGACAAAAATAATGATCATTTGAGACTAATAGTATCAATTATTTAATGTTAGGGGATTGAAAAAAATATTTTTTAAAATTAAAAGATCAAAGTAAAATCATACATAAAATTAAATTATCAAAAGTATATTTTTACCAAAAGTTTAATGAGATGAGTTGGATCATGAGGGCTCATCAAAATCAAAATACACTACAAGAAATTGTAGAAGTAGCAGCGGAACCTTTCTAGCGGTTAAAGAAAACCGCTAGAAATTTCAGATATTTCTAGCGGTTCCTACAAAAACCGCTGCAAAATACAGACGGTTTGACCATTAAACGCACATTTCTAGCGGTTACCCCCTAACCGCTAGAAAATTAGAGCTAGAAAACTCCCCGGGCTTTGGCGGGAACTTGGCGCCAAATTTGTAGCGTTTACTTTCTAGCGGTTCAGGCTAATAAACCGCTAGACACTGAAAAATTCTAGCGGTTGATGCATGAAGCGCTAGAAATTTTTTTCATTCCCCGAGGAGTTTAGAAATTTCTAGCGGTTCACGGCCGAACCGCTAGAGATTTCTAGCGGTTCGGCCGCGAACCGCTAGAAATTCCCAACGGTCATATGACCGTTGGGAATTTCTAGCGGTTAGGCACAAAACCGCTAGAAATTTCTAGCGGTTTTGTGCCTAACCGCTAGAAAGTTTCGGTCTATATATACCCCCCCACACTCTCACTTCTTCAATCGTTCTGGAAGCGAAGCTCTGCTGAATTTTCTTCACAAACATATTTGAGTTCTGATTCAGTTGCAGATCCTTATTTTCAGGTAAAAATAGTAATTTATTGATAAATAATTTTTATTTTATGTTTTATTTTATTAATTTTATTATGTTATAGCTTATAAATTAATTTTTTTTATTTCATTTATAAATAATTACTATTTGTTGTTATTAGGATGCCTCGTCGACATGGGAAAGACCCAGTTGATCCTGAGAGAGCTGGACCCAGTGAGGTTCATCATGATGCTGATGAGCCATTTCCCAGCATTCATGACTACGATCTGAGCGAGGAGGATATCCTCAGTTTTATGGAGCAGGATGGTATTGAGCGGACTGAGGAGGCTCATTTTACTGGGGATGAGCAACCCCATGCTGATGCTGCTGACGAGGAGGAGGAGGAGGAGGAGCAGCAGGATCAGGGGAATGAGTATCCCCAGGCTGCACAGCGTCCTGCTCCGAGACGTCAGGCTGGTTATGAGGTGGAATTTGTCGGTAAGTATTTATTTTAACTTTTTAAAGTTTTGATCAGTATTTAATTTATATAGAAATTATATTAATTTATTGATATATAATTTATTTCTTAATTAAATTTTGTAGACACTGAGGGGAACAGGTCCTATCGGAGGCTGACAGCCAGAGAGCTGTCTATGATGACGGGCGGACGAGTGGTTGTGCCGCTCAATGAGTTGGGCCAACCGACGAAGAAAGGTGGCCAGTTGTACAACAAGTACGTGCGCCTCCTTGGTCAGCAGTGGACGCTGTTCCCCATCTACGTGCAGGACTGGAAGAAGATCACCTCAGACAAGAAGCAGCAAGGCTGGGAAATAATGAAGGTAATATAAAATTGTTATTTATAATTTTTTTTAATTTAAATAAATGATTATATATTTTGTTTTCAAATAATTTAATTGTTTGATTATAATTTTTTATTTATTTAATTTGTTTGTTATTTATAATATTTTTAAAAGTAGTTAAATGAATATATATTTTTAATTTAAATTATTTAAAAGTAGTTAAATGAAAATAATTTGTTATTGATTTCATTAATTTATTACTTATAATAATTTTAAATTTAGTTGAGTAAAAATATTTTTTTATTTAAATTACTTAATTGTTTAATTATTATTAAACTTTGATTAATTTATATTTTATTTATAATATTGTTAAATTAGTTAAAAACTAATTATTTGTTTTTAATTATTGAAATTGCTTAATTATTTGTTTATAATTTGTTATTTAGTTAATTTATTATTTTAATCATAGAGTAAATTTATTCTGGGGGAGGAGTTGAGGGCTGACACGATCAAGAGGCTGGGGATGGCATGGAAGAACAGGAGGGCCGACCTGTGGAGGGAGAAGAAAGGTGACGGGACGAGGCCCCTCCAGGAGATACTGGCAGATGTACCTGGTGGAGTCCCGGACCAAGACTGGTCCACTTACGTCTATTTTAGGATGACGGCTGACCAGATGGTATGATAATATTGTATTAATTATAATTTCTTTATTTTTTATCCGACTTGACTCATTTAATTTAATTTTTTTACATTTTGCTTCAGGCTCTTTCTAGGAGAAATGCTAGGAGCGTCAGGCATCAGACGATACGTCATAGGGCTGGATCCAGGAGCTTTGCGATCACTTATGACGAGATTGTGAGTACTTGAAATAAATTTATTAAATATGTAGATGTATTTAATTTGTAACTAATTATTTCTTTGATTTCATTTACAGATAGAAAAGACGCAGCAGGAGCGGGGATACACGCCCACTTATGGCGAGATGTGGCCGATGGTGTATAGACCCCGAGACGGGCGTGCGTCGGATGAGGTTGAGGAGATAGCGGTAAGTAATAAATTAAATATTAATATAATATCACAGTGTAGATATCATTATATTATAATTAACTTCTTTATATTAATTTTGGTAGGCACGGATGACTCAGGTCGATTCCGAGTTGCGTGAGTCTCAGGGGTCTGCCTTGGATCCCACCGCCTCACTTTTAGCGGGTCTTGGCCGGCCGCAGCACCCTGGTCGAGTTAGCGGGCTTGGACTTGGACCTACACCGACTAGGCTGCCCCGCTCAAGTGGCGCTGGCCCTTCATATACTGCTGGGAGCTCTCATGCGAGTGCGAAGCGGCCGGGTTCCTCATCTTCAGAGGAATTGCGAGAGGAGCTCAGACAAGAGTTCGAGGCCAGGATCGTGGAGCGTGATCGTCAGTTCCAGGAGCGTGATCGTCAGCTCCAGACGCAGCTTGACCAGCTCTTGGCAGCTGCTACGGCTCTGCGTCATGTGGTGGTCAGTATAGCTCCAAACATCTCGGTTCCTGACATCCCCGACCTACACATGCCACCAGTCCCGCCCCTACCCGCCATCCGCCAGTCCAGTCCCAGCAGGTTGAGCGGCCTGCCCACCGTCAGCCGGAGGATTCAGCAGAGGATGATCCCGATGATGCTGCTTCTGCCCCCCACCCATGATTTGCTTTCATTGTATCGGATTTTATTAGAATCTTAATTTTACGGTTTTATATATTATTTAGATATTTATCTAAATTTTATATTTATTTGTTTCCTTTATTGATTTATTTCTATAATTTTATTTATGTCAAGTACTAATTAATATTGAAATATTTATTTATTTATTACAACATCAACATTACAATTTATTAAACACGTTAAACATATTAATTACTCGAAATAATTCTATAATCATTTATTAATTTAATAAATATTTTTAAAACTGTAGAATTTTCTAGCGGTTCTGGTGAACCGCTAGAAAATTTAGAATTTTCTAGCGGTTCTAGTGAACCGCTAGAAAATTCTAAATTTTCTAGCGGTTCACCAGAACGGCTAGAAAATTCTCAAATTTGACCGAATTTTCTAGCGGTTATAAAACCGCTAGAAAATTCAAAACAGATGGAGAGAAAATTCCCGTTAAACCGCTAGAAATTTCTATCGGTTTGTAACCGATATTTAGAATTTCTAGCGGTTAATAACCGCTGGAAATTGAAATTTTCCGTTAAAACCGCTACAAATTTGTAGCGGTTTTGTAACCGCTACAAAAAAATGACCGTTCCTCCACCCTCCTTTATAAGCTGAAGCACTTCAACTGAATTTCATTTTAACTTCTCTTTGAGCTCTGTGGCATATTTTCACGAAATTTGAGCATTATTAGTCATGGATAGGTCGTGGATCAACTTGCACCGGTCGACTCCGCAATACTTGGCTGGTCTAAACTATTTCTTGGATTTTGCTTTCGCCAATGCTGCCGTAAATGGTAAGATTCAGTGTCCCTGTCCTAAATGTAATTTCAAAAAGTGGCATCCCAAAGATATTGTTAGGGAACATTTAATCTTTAAGCCTTTTCCGCGAGAGTACGTATTTTGGCAACTACATGGGGAACGGCTAGATATGGGTGCTGAGTCAGTGCCAGTAGTTTCACGGATGGGAGTTCGAGTGGATGAGGCCGATGCCGTGAATGATGCTGTGCGTGATGCTTTTGGTGTTCACGAAAGCTCGAATCCCAACGAAGATGAAGTAGAGGGACCTCAACCGGAGTTTCTAAGAAACGAAACTGCTCGGGAATTTTTTGACCTCATGACCGAAGCTGACAAGCCTCTTTATTCTGGGTGTACAAAGTATTCGAAGTTGTCATTCTTGGTGAGGCTGTATCACATCAAATGCTTGTGCGGTATGACTGACAAGGCGATGTCTATGTTGCTGGAGTTACTGGGAGATGCTTTCCCCCAAGCTGAATTCCCTCCGTCTTTTTACGAAGCAAAAAAGATTATTAACAAGCTTGGCTTGAACTATAAGAAGATAGATGCATGCCCAAACGACTGTATGCTATACTGGGGAGATGATGCCAACAAAGAGATTTGTACGAGATGCAAGACGTCACGCTATAAGTCGGTACGAAAGGGCAAGAAGCAAAAGAAGAAACCGGC